CCACCCCCCCACACCACACCACACACCCACACACACGGCCCCCCACACACCCCCGCAGCTTTTCAGAGCTGCTTCCTTATCTCCTGAAATTTGGTAAAATCAGGGAGAGAGGACTTGGGGAGGCTCTGGTCTCCTACAGCCAGACTTTGGGGCAGTGTCTCCTGAGACTATGAAGTGGGGGACCAGGTGGCCTTGGGGTCGGCAGGGCCCTTAGCCCCACCGTTGGCTAAGGGAGGGCCTTGGGGGCAGAGTCTGGGGGCAGTGGGAACTGGGGTGAAGAATGCCAACTCAGGGAAAGGCCTTGGGAGGAGGGCCTCAGCTCATGGGAGAGGATCCTCAGCCTGGGGGCGTGGAGTCTCCATGCCCAAATTGGTGTGTGTGGGGGGTCACCTATTTGGTCCTTGCACTGCGACCGCTCCTTACTCAGTTTGCCTGGACTGGGGAAGTAGCAGTTCCTGGGGCTCCCCTGGGGTGTCCCCCCTCCATTCAAACGCAGTCCAGTCCAAGGACCGCAACGCGCCCGGGAGGACCCTGGGAATGCAGCAGACCTGGAGAGGAGGATGAGCCCCGGAGTCCCTTCTGGGTGCTGTGCGCGGAGGGGAGGAGCGCGCCCCGGGTCGGAAACTCCTCCTCCTTCCCGGGACAGCCGCTCCGGCCGTCCCTTCCTCCTGGCCGAGGTGACCCGGCACCTGCGTTTAGGGGTGTCGCCCTGGGGCCTGGGACGCCGCCTCCAGGGATTAAAGCGAGAGCCAGGGAAGGTCGGGGACTCACGCAGGAGGCGGCCAGGGCTGGGGCGCGGCAGGTGAGCCGGGCGCGCTCGGGGTCCGGGCCTGGGAGGGGAACCTGGGCACCCGGAGTCACACGAGTCCTCGCCTGGGGCGGGGTACCGGGGGTGCCTGCGGGTGCGCCGGTGTCCACGGTGCAGGTGCAGCGTCCTAGGGAACCCCTGGGCGCACGCCGGGACTCCGGGCCACCTCCTCGGTGGCGCTAGGTAGGGCTCATGGTCCTGCGAGCCCCGGGCCAATGCGTTGGAGAGGAGGGTCCCTGGGTCTGGAGGGTCCTTTGGAGCAGCCTTCTGGATCAGAGCGCCTACTGTGTACAGTCCGTTCCCCTCCGGACGTGGACGCGGAGGTGCGTCCGCTGGTTTCTTTGTTTCGGGAAAATCTCGGCAGCCGGGCTTGTTACCTGAACTGCTTCCACGCCTCGGTTCGACCGAGGTGGGCAGAAACTGGAAACGCACTGAGATGCCGCGATAGGCTGGTGCAGCCGGCGGGGCCCTGGGGGTGAGGCTCGAACCGCCCACCACCCGGGGGAGGGAATGCAGGAGTCCCACCTGCGACTGGGGCACCTGGCCCTGGGCACTCACGGAGCCTGCCCTGGAGGATGGTGGGTGGGTGCCTTGGCGTGGGTGGCTGCCTGCCGGGGAGAAGACCGCCGCTCAGGAGGGCGTGCCTCGCCTCGGGTGAGACTCGGGACCGTGGCTGAGTGGCCCCAGGTGCCAACCGGGCAGTGGGCACCCAGCGCGAGGACCCACGGGCCGGGTTAGGAACTGAATTCTCCAAAGGCCTGAAAGTTTGTGCGTCTTCGCCCCAGAGGCCTTAGGTGCACGTGGCCTCGGGCACTGGCTCGTGGTCCCGCTTTTTGCGTGTTGGGAACCCAGAGCCGAGGTGGCCCCTAATCAGGTTCAGAGCGCACCACCCTCTGGTGGCTTGTTTGGAGAGGGGAAAGTGAGCTTGGCGGCCCCAGGTGGGCCTGGAGAGCAGGGTCAGCCAGGACTGGGCTTGGAGGCCTTGCCTGAACGCTCTTACCTTAGTCCTGGAGTTAAGGCAGGTCACCCACGGCTTGCTCCCCCACCTCCCAGCCCGCAGGAGCCATGTCATCTTGGAAACTTCCGAAGGCTACAGACACACCATGCGGTGTTTTGAAAACCCAAAGTGGGATGGGAGTTGTTTACAGGACTTGGGAGGAGGGGGATTTTCTCCAGGAAGTGAGGGTAAAGACAGGTTCCCCTCCTGGCAGGAGGGCTCGCCTGGGAGGCTGGGGCCTGGGCCGCAGTGGGCAGTTTCCCTGGGGACACAGGGGCTGAGGGAGCCCCAGGTGCTTAGCTGCTGTAGTGGTGGGTGGTGAAGGACCTTTAGGTGGCCAAGATAGCCCACGCCCCACCTCTGCTGTTCTGAGGAGGGGTGCCTTCCCTCAGTGACCTTGTTAGATGGTGTTAGAATGAAAGCTCAAAAGCCTGGGCTGGTGGGGTGGCTGCCCAGCAGAGGTCTTTAATCCCAGCACTCTGAAGAGAGAGGCAGGCCATCCTGGTCTACTTAGAGAGTTCCATGCCAGCCAGGGCTCATAGTGAGATCATGTCTTTAAAAAAGAAATTAGGGACTGGAGAGATGGCCCAGCAGTTAAGAGCACTGGCTGCTCTTGTAGAGGACCCCAGCACCCACATGGCAGCTAACAACTATCTGTAACTCCAGTTCCAGGTGATCCAATGCCCTCTTCTGTACTCCACAGGCACTACACGACATGGGTGTGCTTATACATACATGTAGGCATAACACTCATACGTATAAAAATAAAAATAAAGTAAAAAAGAAAACTCAAGGGTTCAGCAAGGCAGGAAACTGAGTCCCAAGAGACAAGGGTTGAGGGATGTTCTCGTGGGCTGGGGACCCCCACCTTTTGGAAGCTGGGGCTCATATTCCCATCTCTGGCCTTTTTAAATGTCACTGCTCTGTGTTCTCAGCCCATTCCCTGGTTTAGTCCTCAGCAACTTCCCCCTTCATCACATCTCCAAGGTCACCCTTCCCGCAGCCCATGCAGAGCCCCTGGGTTTGTTTGCCTTTGGCTACCTGGCACCCTTGTGATGGAAGGAGGAAGTCCGGCCACACTGTACAATAGCTGCATATGCTGGTGCAACACTTTATTTCTTCTAGCCAGGCATCAGAGTGAGTTCTTTATAACGTATTTACACTCCATTACAGGGAAGCTGAGACAGAGGTTAGGTAACAAGCCTGATATCCCATAACTCAGACAGGGCAGGATCAGGTGGGACACAGGCTGTCTGCCTCGGTAGGTTAGTGCTGAGAGCACTGGTTCTGAGTCCAAGATGCTTACAGAGGACTTTGTGGTCATAGGCAGAGAGCATCACTTCTTTTTTCTTCCTCTCCTAGTTCTGAGGTCCAGGGTGGCAGCAGGTGGGGGGCGGGGGGTGACAAGCTGAGAAGGAGGCCGGAATCTGTCCCCATGGGGGAGAAGGGGGCTGGTTCTGGGACCAGGCTGTGATTCCCGCTAACCTCCTAACCCCACCCCTGCCTGCAACCCCCACAAGTTCCAGGGTCTGAGAATTCCTTAATGGGCCGAAAAGCTGAACCCCTGGGTCATGGGGGACATTGAGTGACAGACACTTGTGGGACCGTCCTGCAGGTGATGAGGCCTGGATCCTCCAGGTGTGTGGTGTGTTACAGCAGCTGTCCTCCTCACCTGTGGACCTCCTCACCTCCTCACCTCCTCACCGCCTGCCTGTGTGGACGTGCCCAGGACCACCAGGAAGTGGAAACCAGACGTCTAGCTGACACTATCACCCTTTCTATTTAAATGCTGAGGGAGCCCTAGGAGGCTTGGGGAGCTTTCTCTAATGTGATGTCATTGACCTGGTCGCCTCAAATGCTGTATCAGATCCTGGGAGTAGGAATCAGGTTTTTTAAGCTTTGACTGGGTCTGAGCTCTCCTGGTCAGCCCAAACATTGGGCATTGTGGCAGAAAGGAAAGGTGACTGGTCAGTTGAGTGCCTGGCCAGTTTTGGCTCCTGAAGGACTGGAAACGGGCTGGTGGGGAGGGTAGAGAAGGCGTCTGGGGGCCAGGTCATCTCCCCTCAGGGAGCCGTACAACCTGGAGGGGGGCTTTCCCATCCACTTCTATCTCCCAAGTGGGAAGTCTTTCCCTGCTCTCTTGAAGCCTGTAGTTGCCTGTTCTCCTGGTCCTTCCTTACTTTCCAGAGCATTCCCCAGGGGTCCTCCTGAGTTGTCCTCAGGACAAGCTGGGGGCCTCTAAGGATCCAGGTGCAGGAGCATCATGCCTCTGAGGGCTAAGGTCGGTAAAGACCAACTTGAGGAGGTTTATCTGTAATTCTCGGTTGTACGGAGGCTGGCTCACGTGTACCCCATGTGAGAGGCAGCTCTGGTCCACACTAGCCAGTGGACTCCTAGGAAAGAACACAGTCATTAGAGTCTCATCTGATAACAGTGACCACTCTGAGGGACAAGCCCTGCAGAGTAAAGCTGGGATTCTAGAAGGATGCAGAGCTGGCCCTGGGCCTTGCTTCTCCTGGTGGGCAGGAGAGAGAAATTGGAATGCATGGCGTGCCTCTGGCAGTGGAGGTTTTTTTGAAGAAGGAGTGATGTAGGTTTTGGGGAGGGTATGTGTGTAGTCGGTGGCCTGCACTGTACACGGGGTGGACTTTGAAGAGGTCGGGTGGCTGCTGTTGTGCTTCCTGCTCCCAGTAGAGGCTGCGGGGGGTGGGCAGAGGAAGTCTGCATATATACATAGGTGAGCCATGGGCGGGGGGGCTTGAAGCTTGAAAGCAGGACGTGATAAGAAAACCCAGTGTGGGAAGGCTTGTGGTTTCGGAAGTTCATGTAAGGGCAGCTGACAGACGGAAGGATTGGACAGACAGACTCACTGGTGTGACTGGTGTGATATGACACAAGTTAGTACTTTCAAGTGCTAGTATTTTCAAGTGGGAGCTGAACTGGCAGATGAAACACACCCTGGGCTTTGTCGTTGCAGGTTTGCGTGAGGCACAAGACCCAGAGTCAATTTCCTTTTAACTTATGGCTATTGCTTTCTGAGGGGTCGTCCTGGCAGGTGGCTGGGCGTCAATATGATCTAAGGGGTCCGATCTGTGTAGGAGATGGCTTTCCACTGACTGCAGACTTGCAGGTCATTCTACGCAGAGCTCAGTGACTGTCAAGTTCACTCTTGGTGAAACATTTTAATAAAGAGGGACTTTGAAGGTAATCACATCTGGCCTCATAGTGAAAGCTCGGTTCTTTCTATTCTAGAATATGCTGGAGATCTGGCCTTCCGGTCTTAGATCTTGAGGTCTGAGGAATTTGCACTCTCCCGGCACCTCTGCTCCTCACTCAAACATTATCGTTGTGGGAGACTTGGTTTCCTTTGGCTTAGTCAGAGCCTGCTTTCCTTCTGATTCTGATTCTTGATCCTGGTAGCAACCTCTGGGTTTATGTAACCTGAACTGGAACCTTTTTCCCACAGCAGTACCGTAGATATTGAAAGGCAAACCCATTTCCTGTCACTATGCGCAGAGCTAGAAGATGAACTTTTGCACATTATCTTTATGTGCAAAAAAGGTCTTTTAATCCCAGTCAATAACCTGAGCAAATGCTGAGGTGTCCTGTGTGGTTGGGGGACCCTTCTGTCTGCTTTGCTCGGCTCTGTGTACCTGCGCCTGGGGGGGAGGGCATCCGCTGTCTCCACTGTCCCCGACCTGACTGGTGGTATCTAGGTGTGGGCTTCCCATCTCTGGTTTTATCCTTTGGAACTAAAATACACACACACACACACACACACACACACACAGACTTTTTTTGTACGGTACAAAGTTATCTTTAAAATAAATAAAGACCAGCCCTGATTCCCACCCTAAAAAGTTTATAATCTCCTTGAGACAATGAAGCATTCATAGAAAAAGAAACTTGGCCGATGTGGCCCACATCTGAGGTGTTTTGTTTTTCTTTCTCCCCGTCTCTCTCTAGTTACCAGAGCGGGCACCCTAACAATCTAGGC